TATAATAAAAGAAATGATAGAAGAATGTTATTACCTTATGTTAATAATTTACATTTTTTTTTACGTGGCTAATTCCAGCTTCTTATAACGCAAACTGTTATGATATTTTTTTAAATATTAAAGTAAAGCTATCTCTTCTTTTCAAATTAATTAATTACTACAAAGGTCAAAATATCTCATATAAGCCGTTGCAATATATCAATACTAATTATAACTAAGTAATTAATGCTTTTAGTGTATTTTTTTTATAATGAATTTAAGAAAGGCTAATTATTATGGATATTTATTCTTTAACTATGTAGTTAACTATAAAATTCAATATTGAACGCAAATAAGCTACTAATATTCAATATTGTACGATGATGCTAAATATTATATAATATAAAAAAATATTGGTCAGCATGATCCTATAGTGCGACAATAATAATTAAATAATGTAAAAAACTAATAATGTATATCGTATACCTAATACATAATTTGCTATATTGCATTAAAAATATTTGCTAACAAAAAGCTGAGGTTATTTTTATTATGTTCTACGAAAGTCCAATTAAATGAATGAATAGCATTTGAGTGTGAGAAATTATTGCAACATCGCGGTTATAGACTTGTTTAATCCTTCAGATGTCCAGATATGATAAAATAGATAAGTGACTTGTTAAATATGGGTGATGTCATTAAATTCGAATAATATTTATCAATTTTAAACTCTAATAAAGTATTGCCTTGATAAATTAATGAAAACGTTAAATAAATTATCAGGTATTTCTTTTATTAAAAACTAAGACTAATATTAAATTATTAATTAGAAAATAATGAATCTTTTAAGAAAATAAAATTATTAAATTCTTTTGAGTATGCTTGTCTATTATATTATATGAAAAGTTTTATGAATGTTGAACAAATCGCCTCCTTTACACCTATAGAACAGAATTAGGCCCTACATAGGAATTTTTACAAAAACATTTGGGCTGCCTTTTAAAGTTTTAGGTGGAATGACTTTCTTTGTCGCAATTTTAACTAATTTCTTGACCATTTTTGCCGGTTCGAAGTTTCCACTCTCGGCAATAATCAAGGCCACAGTTCCAGCAACATGAGGTGAGGCTTGACTTGTACCCGAGAATACTTTATTATCATCATCGGTAAGGATACCAGCGGATAAAATGTTTCGACCCGGTGCAAATATATCAACGCATCGACCAATGTTTGAAAAGTTGGTGACATTATCATTAGAATCTTCGGTGGCACCAACGGTGATGGCTGTTCTTTCGGAGGCAGGAGATACTTCACAAGCATCTTCTGCGCTGTTACCGGCTGCTACAACAACGTGGATGCCGTTGTTGGTAAGTGCTTTAACTGCATCATTGGTTGCTTGGGAGAATCCACCTCCAAGTGACATGCTATATAAGTTAAAAACATAAGGTTATCTTCAACATTTGTACTTGCAAAATAAGTAAGAAAAAATGATTAGTGTACATACTTGACGACAGAATTCTGTTTCTTGTTTTTTATATGATCGTTAAGAACAAATGACAATCCACAAATAACTTCTGAATTTGAACCAGAGCCAGCAGCGTTCAAAACTTTGACGGCAATAAGATTTGATTTTTTTGAAACTCCAAAGGTTTTTCCAGCAACAATTGCGGCCACATGAGTACCATGCCCATGGTCATCGGTATTTAAACAACCAAAACAGCTAGAGTATCCAAAGCTAGCGCGCCCTTCAAATTCATTGTGGCTTATCCTGATGCCACTAATAGAATAATCATTAAATTAATACTTTATCATTGCAATAATAATTAATCTTAACAAATTAATGATGCTTACGTGTCAACAATATAAACATTAACACCTTTTCCGGCATTATCTGGGAAATTATATTTTTCATCCAAAGGAAATTTTTCCTGATCTATACGATCCAAATTAGGATTTGGATTCGACTGAACAGCGCGAGGTACAACATAATTAATCTTTACTTCGGTATCTTCCTCAGCAACTTCAATTCCCGGAAAATTTGATAAATGATGCTTCACAAATTCAGGATGAAAATCAGCGGAATAACCATGGAATACATTTTCCACCGAAAAATCGAGAACATCGTTTTTGTTAAGTTTTTTCGAAAAATCTACAGAGGAAGTATGTTTTATTTTTCTTCCATAACAATTTGTTAACCATTTGAAGTGAGATTTTGTGGCCACTTTATCTTTAAGTATAATGTTGAATCTCTTCTGTGGACCTTTAAAAATGTCATTTGGACAATCGTCACGAGATTCAACTGATGTTAAAAGGGTAGTAGCTAACAAGGCGATCACGATGAATTTGGAAAAACCCATTTTGAGGAATGCTTGAATTTATTGAAAGATGAATTATTATTATTATTTTTTGTAATAGGTACGTGAGGGAGGATTTGTTTGTGTAGATGAGAATAGGGTCTTGCACCATCTGAAGGCTCTTATATACATAATTCGAAAAAAAAAGAAGTATATAATTTCGAAGAATTAAAAAGGTCTAATTATCGAATTCATCAATGGTATGTATCAATTTACTAATTTGTTAACGAAAGGAACGCACATGCGATAAATAGTTTAAAGGCTGCCGATTGTATTGGTTAAATTTTCAGCGATAAAAATTTTCTATGATCTAATTGTTTTATTTTCATGCTGGAATTAAATTCAACAAATCACTTACCAAAATAGGTAATTTCAAATAAATTAAATTATTCTTGTGCACAATATGTAAAATCTAAAACAAAGATCACAATGTGCATTTTTATGACATCATATGAACACCAAAATAAAATAATTCTAATGTGCACAGATTATTTTCTAAAAATAGGGTGTACACAATATGTACACCAATAAACTATCGCATAAAATATATATAGATAAAATTTATAAATGTAAATAATAATATTTATTTACAAAAAAAAAATACCACCTCCGAAAATAAGCAACCCCAAATTAATAGTATCGAAAATAAGCAACATACCTTCGATTGAAGTTTTGATACTAAAAATAAAGTTTTGATACTAAAAATAATACATATCCGAAAATAAGCAACACTATAGTAAAAAATATGTTGCTTATTTTCGGAAGAATATAGTAACAAGTAGTTATAACCAGTGATATACTCTTGGAAGATTGTAAGCACTATTGAAGGCACTTTTGAAAGGTTTGGAAGCATAATTTTCTAATAAAATCATTTGACTTGGAAGTTTCCAATCAAAATTTTATATTATTAAAAGTATAAATGCACATCACTAATTATAACTATTTTTGATTAAATCTAGGAATCCTATTCCAAAAAATATATGCTTTTTCATAATCATAATTACTAAAATCTTAAGTATGAATTAAAGAAAGAATTAAATAAAGATTTAATGTCTAAATTGGTATTTTTGTTATGCAATTAATCATAATTAAATTTTGATATGAAAATACATATTCAATAACATAATTTGAAAATGTAATTATTAAGGCTAATTCAATAAGTTTTGTTAAATTAGAAAATTGATTATAAAAACTAATATTATTAGTAAAAATATAATATTATATTTTAATAAATTAAAAATCTCTGTAATCACAAATAATATTATAAGTTATTTTTTATTTTTTAATTAGAATATTTTCATCTAATATAATTTTACATGTAATATTGCTTTCATTTTTTTTAACTCTTCTATAAAATTTTACTAAAAATTTAATTTCATTTTCTCTGTAAGTATTTAATCTACCCTGATTATTAGAAGTTTAATTAGGTTTAAAATTCTCATTAAATAATATAAAGCAAATTTGAAAATCTATTTCTTAAACTTTTTGTTTAAAGCATAACAGAAAACATTTACTTTTAGATCATTTAAATACAAGATCATTCTGCCTGTCTAATTCCAGCCAGTCTAATAGACTAATGACATTTTATTTACATTATCATGTGTTATGTCTTTTATATTACAAAATAATTAATTATGTGAAATATGATATTATAATTTTTTATATACTATGCTTCAGACTTTGAACAGATTCTATTTTCTAATAATAATTACTTATACAAATTGATTTAAAAATATAAAATAAAAAAATGATAAATTATTATAGTCATCTTTTTTTATAGATACTTCCTATATAGTTACTCTATCATTTTAGTTACACTTCATTTAGTTCTAATCTCTTTAAATGGAAAATACCTCTTTTATAATTATCAACATATTATAAATATAATCAACTAACATAATATTATAATAAAATGGTTTAGAATTTGCTAAACATTAAATATTAAAGAACAATTAAAATATACTAATTAGAAGATCTGCAAAATTCTGGATTTTGATGATTCTTAGGATTCACAGGATTCTGGGGATTTGTAGAATTCTTAGGATTTACTGAATTCTTCAGATTATTATGATTTATTAGATTTTCCTAATTCTCTATATTTCTATTATTCTAATTATTATCGTTATTTTTCTTATTTTTATTATTTTTATTATACTTATTATTATCTTTATAATTATTATTCTTCTTATAATTATTATCATTATTATATTAACACTTGTAGTTACAAATTTAGTTAGTTTATAGCATAACAATTAGTTAGATGTAGCAAATTATTTTTGTATAAATAGAATAGCTTTTTGTTCATGTTGTAAATTAACTCTCTATTAAGTTCTAAAATACTTGTAAGTTTCAAGTAATAAATAAAGGAATCAACTTTGAAAAACAATTACTTTCCCCTTCTACGTGTCTATCATTTAAGATTTGATTGTTAAAATAAATAAATTCTCTAAATTTCCTAAGTCTTTAACCCTTAAGTTTATAAACCAAGTGAAGTAATTCCAAGAAATTCTGGATACCTGTAAGATGAAAGATTCCCTAAGGTTGTAAAGTCTGACATAAAGGAAGTTACTTACTGCAGTAAAGAAACTTAGATAAATTATGTGAAGTAATAAGAAAAGATTATTCCCGGTGATAACATGTAAGATTTCTAATCAAAAAAAATAAATATTGTATTTATTTTATTTTTATAATAAAGTTTCTATTTTCCTATAAGAAATCGAAATAAGGAAATGATACGTTTTTTATAAGGTTTGTATACGTAATTAATGATTCTATATC